ATGGAAAGACTTGGAAAAAATCACAAGTGAAGTAAGCCAGACCCAAAGAAACATAGGCCCTATGGTTTCTCTCATTTGTAATAATGAATTATGCCTAGGATAGTACTGACAGAGGATCATAAGAGCTCAAGAGCTATGTACATATGACCATACAAAAATGATGCTAAGCCAGGCTCCGGTGGCTCACACCTGTAATCCTAGCTGCTCAGGAAGCTGAGATCTGAGGATCGAGGTTCAAAGCTAGCCCAGGCAGGAAAGTCCATGAGACTCTTATCTCTAATAAACCACTAGAAAACCAGAAGTGGTGCTGTGGCCCAGGCGGTAGAGCGCTCACCTTGAGCTGAAGAGCGCAGGGACAGCACCAAAGCCCAGAGTTCAAGCCCCATGATAAACAAACAAACAAAAAAATACTAATTGAAATTAACTCCAAGACATGGAAACAACAGCTTTTTTTTTCAGTTGTCAACCTTAATGTCACCAATGTACTGTATCTAATTCTTTCTTCTTATTTCATTTTTTTTCCATTGGTTTATCCCTGGCAATCTCTGTCTTCAATTCTGGTACCCTTCATCTTGTATAACATTTATCTGATTTGGGGAAGTGAAGGGAAATAAATATTGAAGTACAAAGGATGACCCACTGCAACAATGATATTCACAAAACATTATGTCAGAAATGAACTTTACATCTTTGGGGAGGGGATCATGTTCAGGAGTAGGGGCAGGGAAAGGATAATGGGAAAACAACAATGGAGTAACAATGTTCATCAAGAAATGTACCTTATATAACTGTAACCCCTCTGTACTACAATAAAATTTAAAAAATAGGGCCTTGGAAGGTGGCTCAGTGGTAGAGCACTTGCCTTGCATGCATGAGGCCCTGGGTTCGATTCCTCAGCACCACATAAGCAGAAAAAAAAGCCGGAAGTGGTGCTGTGGCTCAAGTGGTAGAGTGCTAGCCTTGGACCCAAAAAAGAGAGAGAGAGAGAGAGAGAGAGAGAGAGAGAGAGAGAGAGAAAGAAAAAAAGAAAGAAGGAAAGGAAGGAAGAAAGAAAGGAAAAAAAGAAACCTAGCTTCTTAAATCATTTCTGAAAATACCTAATTTTGTTCACAATAACTAAATAAACAATTCTTTTTGAAAAGTGTTGCATTTTGGGAATGTTTTTTAAAACTTACATTTATCTAAAAAAATTCACACTGACACCCCCCCCAATAATAATGCTGTTTCATATGCTTTACTGTACTTAGAAATACCCTATGTGAAAACATAATGAAGATAAGTCTCTCCAATGTACAAAACAGACAAGTTACAAAATTCTATGAACTAAGCAGCTGAAATGAACCACATAGAACACAGAGATGTGGGTCTCACAAGCATGGCTAATAATTAGTACTGTAGTGACTAGAATCACCTGGTTTTAATGCCAGACTCATCCTAGAGCTTACCTACCTGGAACCTCCGTTGTTCTTGGTGGTGACAGAGGAGAGGATACTGCATCCATGAAGGCAGAGCCCTGCCCAGAGCCATGCAGGCTGTTGAGTGTCCATTAACAACCCAGTTCCCCTGGATCTATGCTCAGTGCCCTTTCCATCATGCAGTCATTCTAACATGTGGTTCCTAACTTGGCTTCAGAGTGAAAATCATACACGAAGTTTCAAAAAATACTGGTGTCTGTGTTTCAGGCCCCAGATTTGTGACTGACTTAATTGAACTGAGGAGGAACTGAGGGGTTTGAAATTTTTAAGGAATACCAGTTGACTCTAGTCAATATAGAGGTTTGAGAATTTACCAGGCAGAACATACCTTCTTTGAAGTCCTTCTGTTTTTAGTCACTTTGGTGACTAAAAAAATTTTTACCTGCTTATAATCACTAACAGCATCACTAAAGCCTTCTAATATACTGTGTCTAATCCACTATGATCTGAAAATACCTGTTAAAGTTATTAAAACTGTATATAAAATTAAAATGTGCTGAATGAGATTTGAGCTTTCTCATCTATATGCACTTGGTTCTATTAAATTACTTTGCAAATTAGTTTGAAACTTGCGTATAAAATTGAAGAAATGAAGCTGGGTGTTGGTGGCTCATACCTGTAATCCTAGCTACTCAAGAAGCTGAAATCTGAAGATCATGATTCAAAACTAATCCAGGCTGAAAAGTCTGTGAGACTCTTATCTCAATAAACTACTCAGAAAAAAATCTGGAAGTCGTGCTGTGGCTCAAGTGGTAGAGGGCTAGTCTTTTTTTTTTTGGGGGGGGGGGGGCCTCTGGTCATGGGGCCTGAACTCTGGGCTTGGGCGCTGTTCCTCAGCTCTTCAGCTCAAGGCTAGCGCTCTACCACTTGAGCCACAGCACCATTTTCGGCTTTTTTCTTTTTGCTTATGTGGTGCTGAGGAATCAAACCCAGGGCCTCATGCATGCAAGGCAAACGCTCTACCACTCAGCCACCTTCCCAGCCCCCAAGGGCTAGTCTTGAGCATACAAAAAGGCTCAGGGACAGTGCCTAGGCCCTGAGTTCAAGCCCAGCTACCCCCACACCAGGGTATTTTTCCCAAGGAAAGTCAAAATACATTTTCACACAAACACCTGAATATGAGTGTTTTTAACAGGGTCATTCATAATTACCCCCAAACTAGAAACAATCTAAACATCCATCTTGGGGAAAGAGCTGTACAGTAGAATACCACTCCCCAAAGAAGAAGTACAAACTAGGGGTGCACCAAATTAAATATGGAGGTAGAAAATGCTATGTACAATATAATTCTATCTGTGTGATGTTCTTAAAAATGCAAAAGTTTGGGTCAGAAACCACTCATTGCTAAGAGCTGGGGTGCAGAAAGGGAACAGACTACAAAGAGACACAGGGAATTTGAGAGTTATATACACTGACTGTCTTGGCCATCACACAACTGGAAACATCTGCAGAAGGAATCCAATTGCACACCTTATCTGAGCATATTTTTACCATATGTAAGCTATGACTTACTTTAAGAAACAAGAGAAGTCTTTATCACATTCTTCCAAGTTTTATATGATTTTCCAAACTGTTTAAAATTTATGGACTGTGCAATCTCAGAGTCAAAAGGAATCTCTTTTTTCCTAAGTTTTTTAACTGGTACGAGAGTTTGAACTCAGCTTATGCTAGCTCAGCTAGCACTATACTACTTCAGCCATGCTCTAGGCCAGCTTTTTGCTGGTTAGACAGTCTGACTTTTCTTCTGGATTGGCTTCAAACCTCTGATTCTCTAGATCTCAGTCTCCTTAATAGCTAAGATTAGAAGCATGAACCACTGACACCCATTTCAGAAGGAATCTTAAGGGTCATCCAAATTGTGTCCCATCTTCAATGACTGGTAACTTATTAACTCCCAAATATAATCACACTCAAGGCAATTTATTTTTACCTTTTTTTCCTTTTTTTTGCCAGTCATGGGCCTGAACTCTGGGCCTGGGGCTGTCCCTCAGCTCTTCAGCTCAAGGCCAGCACTCTATTACTTGAGCCACAGCACCACTTCTGGCTTTTTCTGCTTATGGGGTACTGTGGAATGGAGCCCAGGGCCTCATGAATGCAAGGCAAGCACTCTACCACTGAGCCACCTTCCCAGCCCCTATTTTTACCTTTAGTATCTATGCTAGAATGCCACTGTAACTAAAATACACACATAAAAACATAAATGTATCCATAGACAAACATGTATGCATATGCATACAGAAGAGTGATGGTAACACACACACACACACACACACACACCATATTCCTGTACTTTCTAACCCCTTTATTTGTGTTGGCTGAGCTAGTGACCCAGTCACATTATTCTTAACAATCTTCTCTAATTGTTTTTGTACTTAGCATTTTCAGATTTCTTCTGCTTTTCCTCACCACTGGAAAATTTACAAATGTTTTTCTTTTTTAGTATTTTGAAATGCATTTTCAGTGGCTCATTTCTGTAATCTTAGTTGCTCAGGAAGCTGCGATCTGAGGATGGTGTTTTGAAGCCAGTATGGGCAGGAAAATCTGTGAGAATATTTTTGACACATTTTTTTTTTTGTCAAGTTGATGTACAGAGGGGTTTCAGTTACATAAGTAAGGTAATGAGTACATTTCTTGTCAACTTTGTTAGCCCTCCCTCAATTTTCTCCTTTCACTCCTCCCCACCCACTCCCCCAAAGCTGTACAGATTGTTTCCAAAATACTGTCTTGTGTATAGCGCTGTTGCATTGGTTATCGCCAATAAACCACTCAGAAAAATCCAGAAGTGGCACTGTGGCTCAAATGGTAGAGTACTATCCTTGAGCAAAAGAAGCTAAGGGACAGAACTCAGGTCCAGGACTGATCTTTTTTTTTTAATGCATTTTCACAGAATAGCTTCATCTACTGAACAACACTACTTAGCATGTCTTTGAATTATTCTGTTGCTGACTACTAATTAAGAAATCACTTATTTAGAAACTGAATTTTCCATGGCTTATTTGACCTCTCTAAATAACAAATGCTGATAATGATTAATCTTCCTGTTGAAAGACTTGGAGTGACACAAACAACTATGCCTGCACAGATACATGGATGACACTGAAAAGAAAGACAGCTAAAGGAGAACAGTGAACACTCTTAAATGCTAAAGGTCACAATGTGGTAAAGGAGGGCCACTCTTGCAGTCAACTGATATACAACTAATTTTGAAAATTAGCTACTCTTGTGCATAATATAAAACTTATACTATTACTTTCCCAATTACCACATTTTTTTAATTCTTCCAAGAGACTGCCTTTATATTACAGGAATTTCAGAAACGGAAAATAAATACAAAGTGCCAACATTTGAAATAATTTTAGCATTCCCTGATTATCATTTCAGCTCTACCCATTAAAAATTTTGTAATTGAACCATACATATTTACAATAATACAATTCACATTAACCTACTTATACAATCCTTAAAATAGTGTGATATTATGTTCATGTCCCAATTAACAACCAGAAAATGTAAACTATAACTTACCAGACAAAATCCCAGAAGATGTCACTGTACAATTTCCAAAGAGTCCCAAGGGAGCACAGGCATAATAATTTTTTCTGATACTAAACATGAAATACAAAAATAAACCTGTAATTTACCAAGTAGCAAAAATTATAAAGCCATTATAGCAATTCCATCTGCAAAACAGAATGAAACTGGAAGGTACAGATTATAAAGTACACAATAATTGATTATTTCAACAGAAAATAATTTTGAGTTTTTTCAGCTAAATGAGTCCTCCAGCACCTTGTTCATTCTCTTGGATTTAATTAGGCTAACCATGGAGACAAGAAAAATTAGATGCTTAAGTGTTGACTTTACCATCCCTGTCTCATTGATACACAGGCGAGAACATGAGTTAAGACAAACGGTCTTCTTTCTGGGCTGGCTTGAGAACTCTGCCTCCTGACCTGGCATTAACAGTAATTTATTTTTATTTTTATGTATTTATTTTGTCCATCATGGGGCCTGAACTCATGGCCTGACACTCTCCCTGAGCTCTTCTGTGCAAGGCTAGCACTCTACCACATGAGTCACAGCTCCACAGCCAGTTTTCTGGTGGTTAATTGGAGATAAAAGTGTCACGGACTTTCCTGCCTAGGCTAGCTTCGAACCACAATCTTCAGATCTCAGCCTCTTGAGTAGCTAGGATTACAGGCATGAGCCACCAAGACCAAGCAAGAATAATCTTTAAAATGAGGTCAGCCATACCAATCTATCCCTAATACAGTTGTTAGTGGATCCAATGCCATAAGGTAAGTGATTCTGTCCTGCAAGCAATGCATTTCACAGAAGTGTGATAGTATTATTATACAATTGATTCCTGGTGTCTACTCTTTGAGCCATAAAATAGCAATGGGAAAAAAAAAAACCCCTCGTAAGACTGCTGTGGGACAAAATGATTAGAGGGCTATTGGAAAATGTTTTTGAAAAAAACCAGAACATTCTTTTTACTTCTTTCTGGATGTCACCTTGCTTATGATTTCTAGCATCTCCTCTGTGCCAGGGGGAATTAATGTGTAAGAGAATCTATCTTTATCTCCTACCTCCTCAGTTAATTGGGTTAATTTGTTGAGACCAAGAAAACTCCCCAAAGCCTTTTTCTATGGGTAAAAGTTTCCTGAGTTGTTGAGGATCCTGTTGTTGTGTTCAACAGAAGGAGAATGAGTAGACAAGCAAAATGGGCATATCCTACTTACAGAGGGGCAGAGCCTGAAGCAGGCATCCTGTACATTATGCCCCAAACTGAAGACAAGTAGTGAGGGGAAAGACAGGGCTCTGTTACTTTATACTTCTAACCAGCACAGAGGATTTTGAACCTCCCCAAACTGGGTAATTTGCTGAAAGAAAGGTTATTTGCTTCCTCAGCTTGAGCAACTAGAGGAGCTAATGCACAAAAATTGTCATTCCAAGAGGTTATCCTGTTCTTCAGCTTTTGGCAAGTTTTGGCACATGGATAACAGACAGGCTCCATTTCATATATTTTATCATTAACTACTGTTAAAACTGAATAACCCAAGAAATCTAGATAATTAAAAGTTGTTTCCACATCACTAATGAAGCTTCTGATTTTAATATAAACTAATGTAACAAAAATTGTTTTCTAATAACTTGTTTATTTCACATAATTTCCCTAAAGAATTCCCCCAGTATTACTGTTAGTTCATATTAGTATCTTAAAGTAAATAGATTTTAATGGGGAATGGGATTAAAAACTATCTAATTTGGGGGAATCTTCTGCATAACAAGCCGCATGTAATGATATCATTTAATTTTTACTCCATAAGGAAAATATTATTGGCCTAACTTTAAAGAATTCAATCCAATAAGACCAACTGAGAATCTGGGTAGGAGGGAGAACTCCAAATGACATCTTTACATTCGTGTGGCCACTATTCAGTGGTAAGCCTTGTACCTAATCATCGTCTCCTTTAAAAAAAATGTATGTTAATCAATTTCTGTAAATGGAATATTATTTAAATGTTTAAGAGGATGCACTTTATCTAAAAGCTTTATTTTCTCATTCGTGAAACATTGAGGGGGGTGGCATGTTTTATTACTGGCTTTAAATTTCCAGCTTCAAAAATACAAGATTTCAGTGTACCTAGGGGGAATGTCTGCTACAAAACCATTCTAAATAATAGACTCTTTCTTGTAGGCATTTCCAAACTTATTTTTAATCACAAATTTTAAAGCAGAAAAAAATATGTCACTCAGTCCTTGCTGGCTATTCATTTGTCTATTCATTTGGATAACAAATACAGATAGGTATCTAATTTTATTTTTCAAGGCTACATCAATCACAATAATACACAACAGATTTGACTGAGACTCTTACAAATATGACTGGGAATCAAGAGGGAACATGAGAAAAATCTTGATGTCTTAATCCTCAATAAAGATATTTTCAATCAAAGATTTTATATTTGATTTTAATATTTTCATATAGTTTGTCTCAAGTATTTGGGAATATATTCTTTTCAAGCTTTTAAATACATTGGGAAATATTTACGTTTTAAAACACCTTTTTTCCAACACCAAAATCAAGAAATCAACTTAAAAACTCAGCATAGATTTAAAAGCAGGGGAGCTTTAAAGTAATTATCCAGTTCCGGCATTGGAGCTGATGAACAAGTCCAGGAAATGGTGGTAATTTCATAGTAAACAAAGTGCAGTGACTGATTATGCATTCGGTCAATGCCAAGTCCAAAATAGAATCTAAGCAAAGTCCAAGGGAAGCTAGCAAGGGCAAAACTAAGGTGCAGGAGCTTCCTCTTATTACTGCTCTTCACTCAATTCTGAGGTTGCTTGTGGTTTGTATGTGACTGAGTACTTACCATCCCTGCAGAAGCAGGCTGGATGGTGATCATCTCTCAAGGAATCTACTATGAAATGTAATAAAGGTTTTGGTTTCCATCTCCCATAAATAGCAATTCGAAGTTTGTAATCTAAAACTCCCCCAGAAAATATACTTTTCAAATAAAATGTTCCACTTTCAGAATACTTCAAAAATCTTTAACATTTGTAATTAATGGTGGGCTTCTCCTGGCATGAAGCCTGGAAAGGATATCAATGAACATTGTTTCCTGAGTGGTCCACAAGACAGACCCATTTGAAATTCTTAGAAGACGGAGTATACATAGAAACACAAACGGAAATAAATAGAGTCCTCACTATACGTTACAATGTTTCCAGCTCTAAGAAGCTGAAACAAACAAAAGCCAATGACTGTATCCTGTAAACAATGAGAACAGGAAAACTTAAACAAGACCAAGAGCTGTCCACAGCTTCCTTATCCTGTTCACAGGGTAGAGTAGCCACAGGTGACTAAGCAAAACACACCCAACAACTAAGTGCAAAAGAACCTGTACAAATAGAAAAGTTCGCAAACATTAACTACCAGGTGTTTGAAACTCCCAGGTAACATGATGTGTACTGTCACAGGTAAAGAAGAAAGGGCTTCAAAAGTATGTCTCAGTTCATAGGCAATATCATGTAATAATGATTTACACTGCCCCAATATGGCAATTATATTCTCATTGTACTCAGAAGTAATATATAACAATGGGAAAGCCATGGATTTTTTTTAATAATGGCATTGCAAAGATATCTGAGGAAAACTTTTGTGTATATCCACATAGCCACTCAGTTCCTCACTTATTCATACAATGGTATTCTTGAATCTCTCTTATTAAACATCTCAGTACTGCAAAGGCACTGGGAAAAAGGTTTAAAGAAGGCTCAGTCCCAATATGGAAGAGAAGACACATGGACATGGAAATGCACAATTTCATACATGTAAACTCACAAGACACCAGGAACCCAGAAAAAAATGAGTGCCTTTCCCCCAAATAGAAAAATCTCTAAAGGGGAAAACAATGTTCAGGTCTATACAAAATCCATCCCTACAAATCCATAAATCTCAGGCATCAGTACAGATCCACTAACAAAATAACAAGAAAAAAATAGTAAACAGTATAACTGAAAAATCACATCTTGTAAATATGAAAGCCTTTCTGAGTCTTGGTAAATAAATACAATTTAAGTATTTACGATTGTACTAAGAAAAGCAAAGTTCCTTTTAGGCAAATGAATTTAGTAAGGGAGTAATGTTCTAATTCTTACTCCCAAAACTTAGAAAAGAAAAACAGATTTTAAAAAAGCCTGTAGTATTTTTCAGAGTAGCTAATTTAAAAGAAATCAATAATGACCAAAAATAAAGCACCTGGAAAAAATAGAAAAAAAAAAAAACATTTACAAGTCCTTTCAGAGTAGTGAAAATGTTTCGTAATCACTAGTCAAATGCTATTCTAAAAACAAGTAAAAGCAAAATGGACCTCTCCCAAGTAATAAAACACTGCATAGAAATAAAGTGATCTATTCCCCAAAGCACAACACACTACATGGAGAAAATGCTTGGCTATTCCTACATGATCACTTCAGAGTTACCTTTCAAAATATCCTTACTTTTTGAAATATGTGAAATTAAATTGTCAATAGTTTTGAAAAAAATGCTAAATAGGATATGACTTTTTAAAAAACATTGCCCTTACAAACCATTAACTTCACCAGCATGGTAAAATTGGTTCAGAAAGACAAAATCGTGATGTTCTTTCTAGGTTCAGCTCTTTTAATAGCAACCCCTTTAAAAACTCTTAACATTGATTTTCTTTTTACTTCTGCTAATACAATTTAAACCTAGGTTACAAATATTTCTTATCATGTGAAGTCATCCTTCTACTTTGGGAGAAAATACTGTCTTGCTGAAATATTACTGACACTAACTGGAATTGAAAGTCTATGTGAGATTTTTACCAAAGTGCAGGTGTGCAGGCTGTGACTAACTTTCTATGGGTAAACTTAAAACTTGGTACCAGTTTGATAAATTGGGGACAAAAATCCACCTAATCTCTGGAGGAGACCAATCACCACCCTGGACTACAGATCAGCAAAGAATTTTTTAAAATTGTGTTTATACCTTTTACTATTTCCAGCATGCTGTTGCTGCTGCTGCTATTCTAGCAATACGGGGATCTGAACTCAAGACTGCAGGTTTGCCAGACAGGTGCTCTACCACTTGAGCCATGTGCCTCAAAAAGTTTTTGTATTGTTTATTTTTTTTTTCTGAAGAATGCCTCACTTTACACAAAAGCAAGCCAAGACTGTTCTCTTCCTATTTGTGCTTCTCCAACTCCCTGCGCTGACAAACCCAAACCCTAGTCCAACCATTGGGCAAGATGGAGTCCCCAACAATATTATTTTTGCCTGGTTGGCCTCCAGCTATGACCCCTGCTATTCACTTCCTAAGCAGCTTCAGCCACCCACCAAGCCAATTTTTAAAATACACTTTTAAATATATCTAAATATTTTAAAATTAGCTCCTCAAAAGAATATGAAAAGATGTGAATTCATTGAGTTAAGTCAATAAATGAATCTCATACCCTGGAATAGTTTTATTAACAGTATCATTTACAATTAAATAAATATAAATAATGGGGGAAACCACCTTGTACACCAGTTCTCATCAAGAATCTGTCAAACACTCATGCAATAATGTTAAGCATAAATCCTGTCCTTGAATTCAAAAAGTACCTCGAGCCTCAACAATAATAACCAGACTGTATTTTAAAATAATTGGGAAAATCAACTTTGGGAAGCAGTCATTTTTATCCCCTAGTGTCTATCTGCTCCATGAAAATAGAACAAAGTAAAGCAACTATTAAACCTAAATAATAGGGTTGCTTTTCTAGACAAAAAAAAAAAAAATGTAAAACAAAGTTTTGTAAAATCGTAACAGTTGTACAATTGGGCAAGAATTGTCCTTTCGGCAAGGAGTGGCAAGCACACTATAAAAGACTAGTGCCTCCATTCTTCCTCCTCGGATTAAAAAGTTCCAGCTCTTGTTTTACCTATGCAGTCCAGCCAGGCACACATCCACGAGTGCACACGCGCGCACGCGCGCGCGCACACACACACAGACACATATACACACCTACCTCATCTCAGCACAAATCATTAGCCCTTCCTTCTAGGAGAAGAAACAGTGATCCTTGAGAATATGGAACACTTGCAAGGGGAAAAGGACGGACCACCTTAGTCTGATCATCTCCTTTCTGGCAGGAGATGTGCGGATTCCACCACTAGAGAGAGTTTGGCAGCTTCACAATGGGGCCCGCTACTCAAAAGATCGGATCGCCGCCTGCCACGAACCCCTTTTTCCAACGCTTCCCACTCTCGCCAAAGTCCACCCGCCCGAAAGTCCACCCGCGACAGGTGGGGCGAGGGCGGCGGATGCCCAGCGACATCCGCCGCTTTCGCTTCTGGCCAGCCCCGGGCCCGCATCCCCGAGCGCACGGCCACCACCCTCCGGTCCGCCCGCCCGCCCGCCTGCCCCCGGCGGTGATCGCCCGGCGAGGACAGCCTCACCCCAGGGTGGCTGCCAAGGCGAGGAGGGTCCGAGAGATAAAGCCTCCGAGGCTAGCCCCGAGGCGCTATCTGGCCCGGGCAGTCGAGCCCTGCGCACTGCCAGGCGCGCGTTCAGAGTCGCAGCAGGCCCAGAAAGAGCGACTTCTCCATGGAGCTCCCGGGCCTGCTGTCCCGCGGTGCGGGCACGGCGGGGCCCACGGAGCTGGCGCGCGCGCCAACGTGCCCCGACTTCCGCACCGCGGCACCGCGGGAGAGGCGCTCCGGGGTCGCGGAGTCCCCGCACCTCCCCGGCGAGCGCCCGGCGCGCGCACACGGGGCGCACGCCCCCGCACGCTCACACGCGCTGCACACTCACGGCGTCTGCGGGCCCCACCCCTGTGCCAGGAAACTGCGGGCTCCCCGCACCCCGCGCGGGCCCCACCCAACCCAACAGTCCCTAGCTCCCCGTCCGCGTCCCTCCGGGGACCGGCCCACGGAGGCCAGGGGACACCGAGGCTGCCCCGCCACCCATCCCCGAGAGAGGCCAGCGCAGCCGGAGCTCCCCAACACGGCACCGACACCACGCGCCCGGCTCGGACACGAGGCGGGAGGAAGGGGCGGCGCCGTGACGGGGACAGTCACCGGGGATCGGGGACGGGGGCCACCCCCAGCCCCCACACACCATCACCGCCACCTTTCCTGCGGCACAAAAGGCTGGAGACGGAACTGCCGTCCCCGCGCAACCTACCCGTAGCCCAGTGCTCCGCCGCCTCCTCCGTGCCCAAGGCCGCGGACCCGGACACAAGGGCGGGAGAGGCGCAGGGCTGCGGCGCCGAGATGCAGGCAGAGGCCACCAGCCGAGCCAGCCGGGTACCCTCTCCTCTCCCACCGCGCTCGGCGCCAGCTACCGCCCGGCGTAGTCCCGCCTCCTCCTCCTCCCCCTCCTCCTCCGCCCGCCTTCCCGCCTCCCCTCCGCTGCGGTGGCGCAGCCCGTCAGCGCTAAGCCCGCCTCCTGCACCCGGCTTAGACTCCGGGAGGAAGGGCGGGCCCGCGGGAGAAAGGCGCTGAGAGGCCGGTGGAGTGGGAGGGGGAGGGAAAGGAGGGGGGAGGGAGGGGAAGGGGGAGGGTGGCGGCGGGCATGCAGGGTGCAGGTATTGAGTTCGAGGGGGTAGTGGAGTTGTGATATTCCTCCTTAGCCAGTCCAGACCCTGCGCTCCAATTGAAGAGCTCCAGGTCTCAGGACTGAGAACGCGGTGGGGTCTGAGTCTGCTTAAATGCTCAACACAGAGGAGGGGAGATTAGAAGCCCAGAAAGTTACAAAGTATAATGCCAATTGTAGACAAATAATGCATGTATGGGGAGGGGGAGGGTAATCCAATTCTGATTCTGATTGGATTCTCTGTTTTTGAATCGCAGACTGGAACTTTTCCATTCTTAAACACCTTTACTTAACCATTTATATTTCCTGGGTTTAAATGCTTAGGCTCAGTGTTAAGAATATTTGCTGACATTTATTTAGACCTCATTGTGTACTTTTTCATGCATTTCCAAATTGACAGCTCTCAGCAATTAGGATCCACATTTTAAAAATGTAAAAAAAAAAAACTGAAGTAATTGACTTGAAATCGCATACCTAGTAAATATCTGAGTTGGCTCTGACTACAAATGGTGAACCTGAGAATATATAAGTATGAGCCAGGCACTACTGGCTCACCACTGTGATCCTACTTTCTAAGAGATTGAGAGTTGAGGATTCTGGTTAGAAGCTAACTCAGACAGAAAGGTCCAGAAACTCTGCAATTAGCCAGCAAAAGGCCAGACAGGAGCCAGGGCTCAAGTGGTAAAGTGCCAGCCATGAATGAAAAAGAATGTATAAATAGAATGAAAAAGAATGTATAGGGGCTGGGAAGTTGGCTCAGTGGTAGAGCGCTTGCCTTGCATACCTGAGGCCCTGGGTTCGATTCCTCAGCACCACATAAGCAAAAAGAAAAAAAAGCCGGAAGTGGCGCTGTGGCTCAAGTGGTAGAGCGCTAGCCTTGAGCTGAAGAGCTGAGGGACAGCGCTCAGGCCCAGAGTTCAGGCCCCACGATCGGACCCAAAAAAAAAAAAAAAAAAAAGAATGTATAAATATGAATTTAGATAGTAACCTCAAACAAACCAAAAGAATTTGATGTTTAAAAGAAAAAAACCTACATTATCTTAACAGACAATCATAAACTTGATGTAGAATAATAAAAATTCAAACAAGTCTTGATTTAAACTTCTTACAGAATCTATGTTCCTGATAAAATACAAAGGTTAATAAATATATAAGCCCCTACTTGAACAGGATTCTGCACTAGGAGAATATTATACTACTGCCACTCAACTGTAAGTATGGGAGAATAGAGGAAAGAGGAAAATTTCATAAGTGTTCTCAAAACAAGTTTGGGGATCAGCAGTTACATTTATTTTCCAACACAGATATGTAAGCAACTTTACAAATATAGAACCAAGTTCCATAAACGTGTTGAATAAATGAATGGGCTTGTTAATTTTACACTTCTTTCTTTTAGTATGGAATGGTTTCAACAATGTATTATTGGGACCATCACTTTGATAAAAAACTACCTCTAGTACATTGTATATTTCCAGAACATTAAGTTTGTTTTCTCCTATCTGAGATCTTATGATCTTTGCAGATCGTAAGATTACTGGCTCCTTGAAAGTTCTGTGATGTTCTTTGTCAAAAGCAAAGAAGTTGGGGCTGGGAAGGTGGCTCAGTGGTAGAGCGCTTGCCTTGCATGCCTGAGGCCCTGTGTTTGATTCCTCAGCACCACATAAGCAAAAAGAAAAAAGTCAGAAGTGGCGCTGTGACTCAAGTGGTAGAGCGCTAGCCTTGAGCTGAAGAGCTGAGGGACAGCACCCAGGCCCAGATTTCAGGCCCCACTACCCGAACCCCCTTCCCCCCCCCACAAAAAAAAGCAAAGAATTTTTGACTTGTAGCTTGGTCTATAGGCCCAAGGCTGGTCATCATGAAGGAACAGTATATCTAAATTGTCTCCTGTCCTTCATGGCACCTCATGCACTATTCACTCTGACAATGTTCACCCAATCAAAAGTCAGGTCTGTTCTTGAGTGTCATGAAGAACACCTAATAAACCAACTCACCACGCAGTAATGGATGCAAATAGCTGTATATGTGGCAACATCAGGAATATGACTAGGTTCTTTCTTTATTCGGTTGGATGTAGACAGCAAGGCTTTATGGTTCAGAAGGATCTGATGTGTGGAAGTAATGACGAAGGCCTTCCCAGAGCTTTCTGTGTGTTCTGTGAGGATCTAATCATTCTGTAAAGAGAAAAAATTGCACATTGAAATAAGATTAGGCCCAAATATAGAACTGAACTTTAAATAAAAAGGTTTCCTGAACCTGGGACTGGTGCCCCTTTGCCACTCAATGTATCTTATCAAAATTTAAAAAAAGACTTAAAGAGAAGCTTCTCTGAAGAAGAAAGAAGGATGGCCAATAGACACATGAAGAAATGTCCAACATCCCTAGCCATAAAAGAAATGCAAATCAAAACAACATTGAGATATCACCTCACTCCAGTTAGAACAGGAAAAATCAAGAACTCTAACAACAACAGATGCTGGAGGGGATGTGGACAGAAAGGAACCTTACTTCATTGTTGGTGGGAATGTAAACTTGTTCAACCACTTTGGAAAGCAGTATGGAGGTTCCTCAAAAGACTTCACATAGAACTCCCCTATGACCCAGCAATCCCACTTTTGGGCATTTACCCTAATGTTTACAAAAAAGACCACACTAAAGCTACCAGCACAACTATGTTTATTGCAGCATTATTTACCATAGCTAAGATATGGAACCAACCCAGATGCCCCTCAGTAGATGAATGGATCAAGAAAATGTGGTATATATACACAATGGAATTCTATGCCTCCATCAGAAAGAATGACATTTCCCCATTTGTTAGGAAATGGAAAGGCTTGGAAAAAATTATATTAAGTGAAGTAAGCCAGGCCCAAAGAAACATAGGTCCCATGGTTTCCCTTATTTGCAATATCTAGTATAGGTATGAGTCAAGCGGAAAAGGTCAGATAATGTGATGTTAGGAAAACGAACCCTTAAATATGTATTTTAATGTTTTTGTTTCTTTCATGCATGTGTTTCTAACGCATTTATTAGATTATTTCTTTATTGCTTTGTATGTCCCTCCCCCACAGTGTAACCCCCGCTTTCACTATATTTGATGTCAGTATAACTTGTGGAGGAGATGGGGACAAACAAGTCGTTTAAGGATTCAGGTGGACCTGTTGCAACAATGAGAAGTACAAAATGTCATGTCAAAACCAGCTTTACAATGTCGGTGTGGGAGGGGGGAGGGGGGTATGATGGGGTAGGGGGAGGGGGGAGGCTGGGAAGGGAGGTGAAGGGTAAACAAAGGAGGAGGCTGCAATGCTTGGTAAGAAAAGTATGCATTATCCTGGCCATGTAATTGTAACCCCTCTGTACAGTATGTTCTCAAATAAAATAAAATTAAATTAAAAAAAAATTATAATGTCAGTTGTCTACAAAGGATGACACATTGATGTTAAGTAGTCTCACAAACAACCAACTTGAGAGAGCAGGATAGTTAAAATCGTTAACGATGTGATTTGAAACAAACTACACAAGTAGGTGTGCAGAAAATACCACATTGCCTTTTCTGTAAACTAACCTTCTAGCAGGGTCTAATCAGGAATGTACAGACTGCTTTAATAACACCCAGAGAAAATTGAGTGCAATGAATCAGAAATGCATGGTTGGAAGACCATAGAAGCTAAGCCAATGGGGCAGTAAAATAACTCAAAAATGAACAACCACAGCCCCTAGCTATGGTATCGTACAGCTCTGCCAGCTTTTGGGAGCTGCTGCCACAGAAGAGAGAACAACTGGCAAAACAGTGTCCATTGCAGGGACGGAAAGAAGTGTCGTATAGATTCCCCTGTCCTCTGACCTCCTACCATGTCTGCACTGGCTAAACCCAGATGCAGCTGCCATGAGAACTAGAAGTGGCTACAGGGATTGGGCCATTTCAAACACAGAGTTGAATAAAGGTAAACACTGAATGTGAATCTGTCAAGGTTTAGCATGTCATTCAATTTCACTTTCCAAGCCTTTTTAGGTAATTACTTTCTCTCTCTCTCTCTCTCTCTCTCTCTCTCTCTGATATATGCTATTCTTTCTCCTGAAGGAGAAAGTAATGTCTGGAGGCAGCCAGTCTTTAATATTATTATTATTGTTATTATTATGATTATTCCATACTCTAGATATTTCTTTTGTCCCTTCCCAGAGTTGTCATCTATGGTTTCACCCTGCATATACATGTCCCTAGATGGGATGGCCCATCTTTCATCTTTCCTTTCAGCACTGTCTTGTTCCCTACTATTTGAGGCTAGAGATAAACCCCAGGACTGGGACCATCCTACAAAGCCTCCATATAGTCTGGGTCATTTGTGTTTCTGGAAAATGATGCTACCAGATTTAGGCCTTATGCTCCATCATCTTTGAACATACTGCCTTCTTCTGCCTCTTCTTTCGAGACGCTGCAGGATCTTCTTAGGCAAAAGCCTTGCCTCTTCTGTCTGTTTTCCCAGACACTCTTCCTTTCCCAGCACACTCTGCTCTCTTTCTGAGCATAGTCTTTAAACAACTGAAAGTAGGAAAAAGAAATACTCCTTTGTGTCCTGCCTCATGTCTCTTCTGAGGCAAACAGGTCCTAGCTGATGAGCAGAATAGCTTAATAGCTATGTACCTATGCCACATAAGATGATGCTAAGTGAAATGAACTCCAAGACATGGGCACAAGAGGGTTTTATTTTTGGTGTTGTTGTTTTTAATATACCATGTGATTTGTTTTTCTTTT